GACAAATTGTATAACACAAGCTATTTACTATGTTATTAAATAGCCATTTGAATTTGTATGATTTAATTTTTTTCGTAGAACGCAAGAGTATTGAGAACAAAATTTTATCAAGAGAAAGTGACGAAAGTGTGTTTTTTAATCGCAGCATTGAAGTTTCTGTATTTAAAGGTGTTTAGCTCTCATCTTTATATGACAAATTGTTTGCCAAAATGAAGAAAAATCTAAGAGAGCTTAACTCCTAGTTTAAAGTAAACGTCTTTATAAAACCACACAATGCAGTGTTAACGGAAAACAAAAAATCTGTTAGGTATTTGACATAGCTTAAAAAAAACATAAGACTTTTTATACGACAGAATATGAACAACATTTTAATTTAACAAGTACCGGTACATCAATAGAGACTGTACATACGCTAACTAGCAATGAAAAGTGTATTATCTGAAACCTACAATGTAGGTGTACATAAAGAACAATATAGTGACATAATACCCCCGCCGCAGCAAGCCTGCTGACTAAGCGAATTTCCATTTGTCTGAATTGATTTTCAATTAAATCTATTTAAATAACATTAACGAGTAGGCTACCTAGGTTTGCTGCTACAGTACAAGGAAACTAATAAAGTGTGTTTTTTTGTGTATTGAAAACCCAAAATCTATTTCCAAGTTAAATAGTCATTAAAATAATTAAATTTATGTTACCGGTATCAGGTTGTTTTCTAGAACTAAAACCTCATACCGTAGACCTAATGCACAGAGGTGAAACTTTAATTTTTAAGCAGCAAACCTAGGTAGGCCTAGCCTACTCGTTAATGTTATTTAAATAGATTTAATTGAAAATCGGACAAAAACTACTTGAGTTATCGCGTTCACGGACACATATAGTGTGACTCTTTGGGCCTACATGTATAAAAATTTGAACGATTGGTGTTTTTGGCCTCTGGGGACATCAAAATGAAAAAGTAAATCGGTCCCAGACCTAGGTCTTACCGTATAACCTACTTCTCTATAGGGAAATTCACTAAAAGGAACCAAGAACTGTTAATGGACTACCGATTACAGCCAGGGAGTAAATATATCATTAATGAATGAGTCATTCCTTCAAACAATGATAAGATAGTAGGAATTGTTTAGCTAGGAAACAATGACCTTGGCTGACTTAGCTGATATCTTGCTGCAGTAGAATAGAATTTTTCTAGAAATGTGTACCTATTAGCTGCTGTATTTACTTTATTTGTTTACCTTTGGTTTTCATTGTTTTAAAATAAAATTTCATGTAACCTACTTATCAACAGGTTTGAGAGTTTTCGTTTTTTCAACTTTTTCAAGGCAAACCAATAAATTTAACATTTAAACTAGGAAAACGATGATATTTTATCTATATGTAAAGTCATTCAAACAAACTTTGGGAATGTTTCTTTGAGACCTATTTTATACCAACTGATAAAAAGTTTACTAAAAATAAAAATTTCACCTTTGCATTATAACTATTATGAGGTTAGGATATTCTACCAGAAACAACCTAATAACGTTTAAATTAAGTTTTCTGATGACAATTTAACTTGGAAATAGATTTTGGGTTTTTAATTTGATCCTTCAGTTCCTCCGAATCTACAATAAGGAAGTTTTTATTGTTATTTGTACCCATGGGGGGGGGGGGGGGTAAAAACCCCTACCCTAATTGTGAATCATCATACAGTAAATACCCCCAGAGCAAACCTGCAGACTAAGCGAATTTCCATTCTTGTCTGATTTTATTTTCAATTAAATCAATTTCAATAATATTATGTAACGACTCCGTACCTAGGTTTGCTGCTACAGGAAGGATAATGAAGTGTGTTTTTTAGTAAAATATTAACAGCTCAGCCTACCGTAGTATAAAATAAAAAGGTTTGCCAAGTTTGATCAAAATATAACCACAAACAGTTTACTTATTCTTCATAAGAAAAACATGGGAATTTTAAATTAACAATTTTTTGAATTCTCTCTGCACCATAACTAATAACCGGATGCCTACAAAAACACTTCAATAGGTATACTAAATTACTTGTTTTTTAAGCTCTTCACAATGGTCAAGAGAGAAATTGGGAAATTTTATGTTTTAAGGGTCAAAAATTGGACCTTTGGTAGGACAAAAGTTGTATATCGTTCATTATTAACTTCTCGCTAACAGCAGAATGGTTAAGTAAGCAGCCATATGTTTCGTAGTGTAATGTGTTTACATTCAATGAGCGTCTACAGCACAGATGGTCTGTAAAACGGCGAGCTGATGGTTTACGTCACACTTTAAAACTCTAATCATGGATAACATTAGCCAAATAGAAATGTTCCACGGTAAAATATAAATCAAGTACCGTAGCTTAGTCCTGATCATAGGCCTACAATAATTTTGTACCTACTACTTTTTTCTTGAATTGTCATCAAGATGACTTAAAAGCTAAAATGTTCTAACATACGTTTATTAAAGAGTATTAATTAGAAAATATTAATTAATTGAGTTGAAGTCGCATAACACTGTAGGCCTACACAGTTAATGAATTATTATTATTAGTAGAGTCGAATACGAGAATCATCTAGAAGACACCTAGTTCTATTACAAAAATACGGTAACATAAAATTAATGCGCTTATATAGGTAGGTACCATAAGTAGATAAGACTACTCTTACTAGCTAATATTCCAACCATATGTTCAAAAAAACGGAACTTACCGAGTCTCATAATTTTGGATTCATATGTAAAAAAGTTAACTTATTTCAGCACTACACTGTAGTAACCATCGATGTATAATATGGTAGTAACTTTTAACTAAGTTAGACCTAGGCTATAGGTATTGAAATATTCTTCTGTAAAACAACATTATAAATTGCTAAAAATTCTATCAGCTGATTGTTGATAGAAACATACCACCGCACTGTCAAGTCGAGCACACATCAATTTGGCCTTGATGACAAATTAATGCAACGACGGGACATGGCACTTCTGAAACATCTGCCCATTAGTTTGCAAACAAGTGTTGGTTAGTACAAAACTTGTTGCGGTAGAAGTTTATCCAGAATTATGTAAATCTCTAATCTAATCCATGTCAACTACCTATTTTGTATTTAACCGCGTCCTCTATTTGTGGTTAATATTTGTCTATAAATGTAGACGAACCTCAAATATGTTTAACAATACTTTTTGATCTGTTGGCAACTATTTGCAGAAAACAAAAATGCAATTTTAAACACTCACAAAAGTATGTTTAACAATACTTTTTGATCTGTTGTCAACTATTTGAAGAAAACAAAAATGCAATTTTAAACCCTCACAAACTGTTGATAACATCTAAGTCAGGTAATGGTCAACAAAAAATTCTTTTAGCGTTCTTTTGATTGCAAACATCAGTTTTAACTTTGGTGTTAACAGAGCTTAGGAAACAATAACCAATGTTACATTTTTTTATACTGTAGTTTGAGAAATATTTTAATCAGATTCTAACTGAAAACCGGAGGCTATTGGTAAATTAATGAAATTTGATTTACTACTTACACAATTTATGTTTTTTTAATAGGGCTTTGATTGGAAGATTAGGTAAGATAAGTTAAGTTAGCCTATCATAATGTTACCGTAACTTACATTTTAACCATAGGCTACCATTTAAATCAGTTCGTACTACGTTTTCCTTAACGTGATTTTAACACCTTTTACTAAAACTAGGCTATCATATTTTGCAAGTATGCAATATCATTCTCTCAAAGTCGTGTTTTACTATTCTCGGCAAAGCTTTGATATCCAAATCCAACTCAGTATTAACACATTCACTAGGGTACCAGGTCACACAGGAGTCCTCACACAGAGGAGTGTGACGGCTGCTAGGCAACGTGTTAATCGATTGTTAAGAACGAAAACGAATGTTTGGCTTGTGGTTAGTCAAAGTTCATGGTTATTGATCAAATCAAATATCCCATTATAGTCTGTTGAACATACGGTACCTAACATAGGCCTACATGAATAGCTTGCGTCACATTTTACAATTAAAATAAGCAAAGACATCAGATAGCCTCCAAGACCAAAACTACAACATTTATGAGGTCTAGATTAAGTTAACAGATTCTTCTATAAAAAAATTTTCTACTAAAAATAGGTTAAGTTAATTAAAGTTTTCATTTGAATTTCTTAGGGTATGTAATATTACTTCAAACGGAAACTTTCATTATTTCTAGAAGGTAGAAATTCGTTTTTAGCCTATAGTTTAAAAGATTGTGGTATAATCAAATCTAAACTAAAAGGTTTAATTGGGTCATTAATATAAGACGTCACTTGTAATTTATTGATCTTGGTTTTAACATGATAATTAGCGTTTGAGGATGAAGAAAATCCTCTACCTAACTCCAAATTACACTCAGTTAAGCGTGACATCTTACATAGATCTAGGCCTAGTGGCAAGTGTCTGGGACAGTTATCGTAGTGTAAGTTAAGCATTTTTTCCAGGCCTGAGCTAGTGAGCTAGGAGCCTTTTTACTAGACTGCAGCCACTACATGCTAGAGCTAGATTAGATTGTCTGCTCACACTTTAGCATCTAATCAAGCTGGCGGGTAAGAATCATCGTACGGCACGTGAAGGCCTATGTTTTGTTTTAAGGATGTTAGTGTGTTAAAATCATTATTGACACCATGAATTAGATAATAGGCCTAGACTAGACCTATGTAAACAGGCTATGGTGGTAAGTACCCTAAATATAATTCAGTAGAGACCATGTAGCAAGTTAACAAATAAGACACTGCCTAATATAAACCTCCATCATTCTAAAAACCTTAGTACCGTACAGGTTAAAACTCCAGCTACTGTAACTCAGTTTCTAACCAAACCTTAGAGCAAACCATAATTTAGGAACCAATCTATAGAGATAATCTAATGACACACGAAACTACATTCTCAGAGAATAGGGCAAGCTCACTCAGCCAACTTGTTCTCTGTTATAGGTTACAAAGTAATATTGGTACTGTAAATAGGCTAGGCCTACCTTGAGATGTAGGTATACTGTTATCCAAAAGTAACTCCTTTTCGCTAGTCCACCTCCCAACTACGGAGCAGCAGATGTGAACACTTCACTAATGAACAAAACACATTAATATCACAACAAACACTTTCACGATAAAACACTAAAAATAATTTTTACAAAATCTATCAATCACTACCTTCAACTTCACGTCAAAACATTTTTAATTTATTTATTTTCAACTAGGCCTACATACAACTGACATCCGCGACGACGACACCTAAGACCTAAACTTATTATTTTTCTCCCAGATTCCAATCCAACTAAACTCAACGTCAACGACCAACAAGAAATAGCTGCTGTAGTTTCTAGAATCTCCTGCAGATGCCCTTAGCATACAGGCATATTTATCTCACAGGTGGCGCATTCTATGGGGAGTTTTTAGCAAACCGTCTGACTATTATTTCTATTTCCTATCCCAACGATGTATGAATATAATGTGTATGCTCCAAGCTCCAAGACTTATCTATAGCCACCTATAGCCAATAAAAAGAAAAACTTGTAAACTCTCTTTAGCTTAATAACTAGTGGGTTTTTATTATTTCAACAATTCCAAGGTTGCATGAATGTGTATCAGGAATTCTAAAATTCATAAAATAGAATAAAAATGTAAAAAATCTTCCGAAATATAAATTTTTATTATTAGTTTTAATTCACTTAACTTATAACAACAAATTACTAGGTATTTAGCATTTTTCATAGTTAAGGAGAGCTTCAAAAACATTTTGTTTTAGTTTTATTTATCAAACTTTTATTTCTGGGAACATCACATCACAGATTATAAAATAAGGGTGTGATGTTGTTCTTGACTTAAATGAAGAAAGATAAAATTTCAAATCCCAAAATGATCAGATTAACTGTTTGCCAAACGGCAGATCGCAGCATTGACTATTGACCCTTTTTGTAATAACTACTTGCAGTCTTTATTGACTAGCTACAAATTTTGATTACTTACAAGTTTTGAGATGTTTGTCCTTTTATCATAACAAGTAGTCCCCATTGCCGATTGCTATCCATCAATATGGTCTATGATATGAGGGACTCAGCCACGGCCACCTTTAACTCCAAGCCGCGGCGGGGTGGCGGAATTGTACCCCCCTGGAATTGTACCCCCTGCTGGTTTGTGACGTCACGATGACGTCTCATTTTCTCGACCAAAACGGCGTGTACGGGCTGGAATTGTACCCCCCTCATAAAACTTTGATATTGTTATGCACGAGTGGTTTGATTAAATCCACTGGCATCTAAAAAACTGTACGGACCGGAATTGTACCCCCCTGGAATTGTACCCCCTCAGTTAGAACTCACTTTTATTTGACCAGTGTACGGAGTGGAATTGTACCCCCCTGGAATTGTACCCCCCGTCAGTCTAGCCCTTCTTATAGGACCGGAATTGTACCCCCCTGGAATTGTACCCCCTGGTCACGGCAGAAGAAGATGTACGGCCCGGAATTGTACCCCCTGGAATTGTACCCCCCCATTTAACCGAGGAGCTTGTCTATTATGATTACCAACTAAAATTAAAACAATAGTTATGTTGGATATTAGAGGGGAATCACACGAATGTTAAATGAAGCAAGTTACCCGACACCTAATGAATTGCTTGTTGTAAAAGGATATTCTAAGAAACTGCAAATTAAGGCCATTCAGAGTAACGTGCGAGAGGCCTAACAGACTTATTTTTACGTTATTCATTAATATTTTCTTAACCTTCCCAAGTACTAACTGTTCATGGGTTAGCTTAAATTCACAAAGGTTAAAACTTTGACAAACTGTGAACTACTTTGTACCAGATACCTACATTCGGTCGGGACCACGTAAGTTTGCAGTTGAGGGAGGTGCCTATTTACCATATGGTTTTGAATGGACCAATGAGAACCGTGTGGTGTTGCCAAATCTAATAATACCAGCTGATTTGATAATATTGCTTAGTATATAATAATATTGCTTGTCACCAATGGCTGAATGCTTGTGTAATGAGTACGCAGTGCGGGAATTCAGTGCATTTTTGAGACCAAATCGGTTCTGAGATGACCGGAAACCCTGTAACTCACTTACTTGTGAGCGATTTGTTGCTTTACGAAGAATCATTACCGAAGGTCATGGCTCTTACAATAATCCCTACTAGTGTACATGTTGCTCGAATTCGAGCAATTGCAAAGTATTACAGGGGTTATTTTAAAACGAATAACAGTCATATTTACAATAAGTTTAAAAGAGTCAACTCACAGATTACCATTGTGTAACTCATGGAGATACTCTATATAACAGCAATCAAAATTTCTTTTAAATATTGTATCATATTTCATAACCTGGTATTGCTTTTTAATGTTTTCTACAAACATTTCCTGACTTCTAGCCATATAAGGTTGTCCATGTTTATTTTCGTTATTGATAAACCTAAAGCATTCCGATCGGGTTTCTCCTTCTCAAAATGCCTTGCTGTACAGAAAACACAGATCATTGATGGAGGGCCAATTGATAACGAAAAGTCGTAGTGTTAGGGCGCATTCGTAACCTAATAGTTGAGGGAACGCGCCAAGGCGCCACCACGTCAACCCACCACCAAGTCAACCCGCCATCAAAAAGAAGAAGAAGTTTGAGGTGGCGGGTTGACGTGGTGGCTCGTTGTCGGGGTGGCACGTTGACTCTAGCGTGCACGACAACCCGCCACCTCGGAAAAATGTGTGGTGGCGGGTTGTCGTGGTGGCACGTTGTCCTGGTGGTGCTTAGACATGTTCATACACGTCAACCAGCCACCTCTTTTGTGTGGTGGCGGGTTGACGTGGTGGCTGGTTGACGTCTACGTGCGAGGTGGCGGGTTGACGACACCGAACATTGAGCGTACACGACAACCCGCCACCTCATAAAATAGTGATGGCGGGTTGACGTGTCGGCACGTTGTTGCTTACATGCGAGGTGGCGGGTTGACGAGAGTTAACATGGGGCGTACACGACAACCTGCCATCTTTGTTGGCAAAAGCCACTGTTGTCTGTGTATTATAAAATGCATCACTTTTTGCAGTTTACCTGGACTTGTGTTATCTAGTTTACTGTTAAGTTAACTAGACATTAGTTATTGTGAATTCATTAATTTTCGAATCGTTTTCCTAAAAAGATCTGCCATAAAGTACACGCGCATCCACGCAAGACAATTTTTCCTTTTAATCAACGGTTATTGTTTAAAAAAATGTTTGTAAGATAAACTCACTACAAATTAACGATTTAGGGTCATTCTAGAATTAAAATAACAATATTTGTTATGTTTTCGCAAATTTTTATTGAAGACATAAAAACATGAAACTTTAATAATTTTGAAAAATAAGTTATTAGTTTCTTAGGATTTTTGTAGGTGTATACCTGGTATAATACCCATACTTATTTTGTTTTTCAGCATTATGACAATGAATTACAAAATAAGTTACCTAACAACTTCATCAATTAATTGTAATTCACGTGTGTATGGTCTAAACAAAAATCATGAAAATGTATTGTTCGGTTATAATTTCTCTTAAAACCTTATTGTGGTGAAAATAATAATACATTCAACCAAAAACATAAAACAAAATATAGGTACATCGTTGATACAGAGTACAACAGACTAAAATGTACTTTGTGTGGACTAGCGCGCACCTGTTTTTCTATTTAGAAGAATTTGAGAAAGGATACAGAACTAGACTCGACCCAACCGGTAACGTACTTTGACATCTTGAGTCAAGGGAGTCGCTTCTGCCCAGAGAAGTTCATACCAGAGAAGTTCATACCAGACAGGTATATTCCAAAAATCTCATTAGGAGATATCTTAAACCAAGATTTCTATTGAATTTATCATGCTCTGCTTGAAATTCCATTTTATGCTTCAGGAAATTCCGTACCGTTACTTTGGTATTATTCGGAGGCCACTTGTTTTCTAGAGGGATTTTTTTACCCAAGACAAAAAAAAACACATAATTAGAAAGAACATACTTTAATTAACTTACTGTCCAAATATGAAATGACTAGCTGTACCCGCGGGCTTTGCCCCGTTTAACTTCATACGTGAGCTCGTTCGCATGGCTCAATCACGTCCTGGTTGAAGTTCGTTCGCTACGCTCACTCACCTTTAGGTTGAAGTTCGTTCGCTACGCTCACTCACCTTTAGGTTGCAGCTCGTTCGCTGCGCTCACACGTCCTGGTTGAAGTTCGTTCGCTACGCTCACTCACCTTTACGGTTGGAGCTCGTTCGCTGCGCTCACTTGCCTTCAGGTTAGCTCGTTCGTTACGCTGCCTCGCCTCCGAGTTGAAGTTCGTTCGCTACGCTCACTCACCTTTTGGTTTCAAATTAGCTGTTGTCAAATATTTGAAAAAATAATAGTGCTGCACTCTGTTGGTAAACCTTGTAATTTTAATGCTATTGAACATCATAGAACAGAACCAACTTATTTAATTGAAACAGCTGTTATGATTCATTAATTCCATTTAAATATTAGTACTCATTAGGTTAACATGGGAAACTCCAGAGCCACTGGGGCGGAGCCCGAGAGTCCAATCAGAATAAAAACCACTTAGTTTTCCTATTTAATGCCTAAAGAATCAGTGTACCAAATTTCAGCCTCCTAGGTAAGTGGGAAGTGGGAGAATTATTGATGAGTGAGTGAGTCAGTCAGTCAGTCAGTCAGTCAGTCAGTCAGTGAGGGCTTTGCCTTTTATATATATAGATTGCAATTGCAATTAGCGATTTTTGAGTTCTGCCTCCCAGAAGGCAAGATTGAGTTGAATGCGTCACCGCCCCTAGCTGCCACACGAACTCCGCCGAGTAGATACTGAGTAAATACTGCGCGGTGCGCTGTAGCGGTTATGTTAGGTTGGGTTTCCTCGTTTCATTATGAATCTAACAATACAACATGAGTGACGATACCTGAGATACAGGCGGTGGTGACATGTGATGCGCGCGCTCCGGCCATTGGTCAACGACCTGACCTTGGCCTACTTGGAGGGGATTTGGCGATGGTATGTCTTATCTGGTATCATTCCATCCATAGCGAAACTAAGAAAGTTCTACAAACATATGTATGATAACCCAACCTAACATAACCGCCGCAGCACACTGTATAAGGGTGGCCTCCGGATAATATCAAAGTAGCCGTTTTTTAACTCTTGGTACAATGGGTTCGGGGTATTCCACTAATGTACTGTTGAAAATTGTATGAAATAATTGATTCATATTTAAAAGTATCTTTACTTACTAAACTAAATCTGTGTAAAACTTG